TCAGGCTGATTTTTCTATAGGTTTCCATTACACAGCATGTATAATTCCAACATAAATCCATGTACACTTTTATTAAGCTAATTTGTAAATTGTTTTGCTTCATGATTTGTAATGTACTGGATTTATTTCATCTTTTCATCTACACTTGTGTCTACGCCTGCCCTTATTATTATGATGAACATACACTATAATAGTGCAAAATATCTGAAATATGTACTGAATTAGCAGAATTATGTAACATATTGAAAATTTGCAAATCTCTTGGTAATTAAGCACCTATAGCACACATTATATTTGACAACGATATAGTACCCCCTTGCAAGTAATAGTTCTCAAGATAAGCGACATTAACATTTTTCATTTAGTATCAACAACAGTGTTCCCCACTATGTACCCTTCCTCCATATTCCAGCTCTTCTATCAGTATTCCTCATTTTACATACATAGATTCTGGAGAACATAGCACAAATTTCAATTTTTTTATTCTATCGAAGGAATGTAATAGGCTGTTGAGCACTTAAGCCAGTGGATCCGCTGTTCTGTCGATGGCAAAAGAAAAGAAAATTAATAATTCACATGCATATAATATCTATCACAAGAGAAGTTTTTTTAACAATGGCGGGCACTTGCCTATAATGGCATTGGTCACTTCTAAGCCCAGAAGTGGGAACCATTATATTGTGGAGGCATCTAATAGGCGGCCACCGTTAGCAGGGACAGACAATTTTACATCCATGCCTTCTCTAGGATTCGAACCCGGGTCCTTCGTTATCACAGTCAGGCTCCCCTAACCACTATACCGTTTGGGCGGCTTTTTCTATAATTTAAATGCCGTTCGTTTGGGGACTTTTTATCACCCATGTTAATATCCTTGTTATTTAGCATACGCTTTTTAGCCTTCTACTGAGTAGGATTTTTTTCGCTGAGAAGAAGAGTTTCTCTGTGCTACGTTTTAATTCACACTGGTACTAAAAAAAAGGAATTACGGGCTAAGTTTTTGTCTCATTTCCCTATTACCGTCTTTTTCTTTTTTCATATCTTACATTAAAGAAACTACTTGCTATTTTTCGTACTTGCACGCCACAGGAGAGATGTTTTTTTTTGAATCAGAGGCTGAAACACTCACAGGTTCATGCCAAAAGTCAGTGAAAATCTGTTGTCAATTTTTCATTCACCCAACTACTTAAGTACTTATAAGCGCTTCAAAGCGCAAGAAAATACAACCAGATTTGCAATTACACCGGTCATCAAAATTCAAAGCTAATGACAGATATAAAACATAACTGATAATCAATGAAAAATTATTTGTACAGAAGCATATGTTAGCATAAATTAAAATGCTTGGCAGTTGATTATTCGCAAAATATTGAAATTGAAACGAAATTCATCGAAACAGAGAAATGATAGAAAAATTAAGTCACCTCTTGTGGAAAAACTTTTTCTTTAATACGGTCTCTTGTCACCTCGGACATACATTCTGTGTCAGCTTGAAGTTCTAAAACCAAATCTCATTCCAGTCGCTTCATGGTTTCTCCGCGCCAAAAACGACCGAAAACGGTCTTCTTATGCAATGGTTGCTCTTGGTCTCCCTTGACCAGTCTGTCTATGAACTGATCCAGTGCTTAAAAAGCGGCTTCAAATTCTTGATATGACATTTTTGAGCGATATACAAATATTGATGATCTCTATTTGTGTTTTCTTTTCTTATTGTTGATACTGATTTACATGTTTGCATATTTTTAACACCACAAAAATTAATTTGGGCATTGTTTTAATAATGCAGTTATTATGAAGTTTAGTTCTGGGTAATTATTCTTGATGTAAACATTGTCTTATACATGTATCAGAATTTTATATTAACACTATTTTATTACCATTTTTGTATTGTTGATGAACCAACGTTATCGTTGTGAGTATCAATTACTGCAATACAGTTTCTTCTTGTTATATTAATTCACTGAAATGTTTCTTTTATTATATGAATTATATCGTCTTATTAAACGCAGAAGGCTGTAAATTTCAGCTAGACCTTTGTCTAGGTAACATATTTAGTTGATTAATTTTTCAAGATCAGAGGTTAATGCAACCACGAGAAGAGATCAAATGTGAAATGCGGGTATATTAATAAGCAGGGTAACGGCCAGAATTTACATTAAAAAAATGCCAGATGTCAGTTTGTGAGATGCAGTCCCGTGTCTTGCACTTTATCGGTTAATACAACAAAGAGTAATGCTGATCGTGGATAATGCTGGAGTTGTCGTCCAATGATGTTTCATCTAGTGATGCTCGATTGTAACAAGATCTGGTAATCTTAGCAGAGCAAGGCAATACGTCGACACTGTGTAGAGCATGTTGGGTTAGAACAGCGGTATGAGGGTCAGCGTCATCCTGTTGGAAATACCTCCTTGATTGCTGATCTTGAATTTCAGCAGAACAGGTTAAATCACCAGACTCACGTATAAATTTGAAGTCAGGGTGCATGGGGTAGCCACGAGAATGCTCCTGCTGTCATACGACATTGCTCATTGCTCCCCAGATTATAACTCCAGGTGTAAGTCCAGGGTCTATAGGACGCAGGCAGGTTGGTTGCAGGCGTTCACCTGGCCTACCTCTAACCAACACACGCCAACCACTGGTACCAAGATAGAACAGATCTCCACTGACGTCGCAAGCGTCAGTGGTTTGGAGTCAGTAGAATACACGTTACACAGCATCCTGCTCGGAGCTGTCCTTCAGATAACCGATTTGTAACAATTCGTTGCGTGTGAAAACTCTAGCGAACACGGCGATCTTTCCTCTCAGTAATACCACGTGAGCACCCAGAACCTGGTCTTCTTGAGCTAGTACCTTTCTTTGACCACTGCTGCCGACAATCATGCACAGTGGATACATTCCTGCCAAATCTTTATGCAATATCGCGGAAAGGATATTCCATCTTCTCGTAGCCCTGTTATACGACCTCGTTCAAACTCACTGAGCTGTTGAGAAGGGCTTCTCCGTCTTCTTACAGGCATTATTGACTAACATCAACTCAGGTAAATCAAAGCTCAACAAAAAAATAACGCTCACGAATTTTACAGCGCATATTTAAAGCAAGCATGATTTGTATATTCATGGTGGCTCTACTAGAGCCCCAGGTAGGCGCCGAGCTCAAAATTTGAATAAATGTTCATCATTTAGATGCATAAACAAGCCTACTAAATTTCGGTTTACTAGTACAACTGTTTCATGGTGTTGGGGATTTTTTTCCTTCAATGTTAATAAAAAAAATCCATATTTTAATGACAATAGAACATTCCATGCCATTTGTACTCGAAACCGAATTCGATAACCGTGAATAATAAGCATATATTACTTATAACCTGCATGCAGTTGTATAAATGTGTTTTTAATTATCCGTAGTTCGGATTTTTATCCAGTCATGTACACGGCGAACAACCGAGACTGTTACGACTTTTATAAAAAATATTTCTGTGGTTTCGTATACGGATTTCCTTTTTTCTTTGCATTTTTCCTTACGTCTCGTGATTTAAATAAAGGTTCTTTTAACAGCATTTCTCAGAAATCGTTATCATCAATTATGCAGTTTCACTCGTTGACTTAACTTTGCATTCTGCGATTTCTACCTCTTATAATTTGTCCAAAAGCTTTATTTAGAGGTATCATCCATATAACATGGAAGGGTGAACATCTTACATAGCATGTGTGTGATATCAGGAACGTATTTTCTTTATAGTAGTTTTTTGTCGAATAGGCCATATAAAATGTCTTTATTCAAAACTCTTAGAGATACGTGACAAGCGGAAAGGTCTTTAATCAAGCGTCAAACAGGATCCATGGAATGGCAAGAGATAATTGTGTCCTCATCCCGGAACATAATTGCCATAAACTTCTAAGAAGTGCTATTGCTTAAAACTGGGATGGACTTTGGACCAATGACTCACATCGGATATGGCAACATTTAGTAACTACTTTTGTCTTATTTCGTATGAAAAAAGTACATTCATTACACAATGAAGATCATTTGATACATGTCGTTCTCTAGTGCATAAATTTAAACTGTTGTCCTCTTCCTTCAAATGGTGTTGTTGGAAGATTCATGATATAGTGCAGGGAAATATCGCAGCATTTATTTATGAGACGTCAAAGAGAGATACCTACAGTATGTACCAAACAAACCTGGTATTAATATAAAAGTACGCTTTGTAGGCTTCCTATTGGAACTGGATGCTAGAGTTAATGTTCTGCAGATCATATTAGACTGATAGTGAGTTATCAATACATCATATACAACTCGCAAAATATTGATAAGTGTTAAAATAACCTTTTTATTTAGTTTTAATTTAACAGAAGAGGCAGACCTTGTGCTGCAGACGAAACTTCTACTGCTTGTGGATTTTTAAATTTACAAAACAGACAAATTCAAAGTAGATAACACGGCGTAAGGTTGCACATTAAATAGTTTGAAAATACGTTGGCTCAGATATTTTATCGGTGCCTATTTTAAAACGTCGGCTAGCGAGATGCTAAAGCCGGAATACAACTTTTAAGTAGAGCTGGAGCGAATAGTAACATCAAAACGCGGTTGTCAGAAGCTCCAATTCAGAAATTTAAGACCCTTAGCGTAATTGCACAAAAACTAATTTGCATTCTGACGAGGAATACGGAAAGGAGAAGTTAAAGTAAACACTTAAAATTATAACAACTAGATTAACATAAGATACCTACAGCTTAATCAAATAATTACCATTGAATATATATGCTTAATTGAATGAAACATTTTGTATTAAAGTGGGGTTTCAATATTCAGTAAAAAGTGAAGGGGAACGTGAAGATGAAAGGGCTAATTTTGCAGAATAGAACGATCCTTAAAAACATTATGTCTTGAGTTAATGAAGCTGTTTTAAACTGACTAGTTTTTAGGCACGAGACTCTAAAGGGAAATGTTAATATTTCGTTTTGAGACTATTTAATTTGCTTTTCTTTCTTTTCAGATCATTGTATATTTGCTGCCAACCAGTGACTATACGCTCGTTAACGAATCCTCTTGTAACAGAATATGTCTTTGCGGCCTGAAAAGTGATGTTCAGCATTTTATGTTGCGATTCATAAAGTCGGGTCGTGTGAATGTAGAAGTAGTGGGATTAACAAGCAGTGGTGTTGGTATACTTTGCGGCAGCAATGTCACAGCAAAACGTAATACCAAATATTCCATGAAAAAGCAGATTCTTGTTAAGGTATGGTTTTCTATTTCAACCTTCTGTATAAATTAGATTTCTTAATGATTTAATGAATAATCTAGGAACGTGAACGGATTCTGCCCTTTTGCTGACGATTTGGTTATCTGGATTAGTGCTTCTAAAAAGAAGCAGAATAGTTTAAACGTGACTCTTAATAGTGCTCTGAAATAGCTGGAATATCGATGGCTAGAAAGTGGTATGAGAGTGTAAATAAGGATAAGGGTACGTAGTTCTTCACTCTGAAAAGACAGCCTTTAAATCCGAATTTGACATATAAGAGCACAGATGTTGAGCATAATGATTTGGATTTCATTCTCTATCCACGCTTAAATTGGAGGAAACTTGAAGAACATTTGAAAAATAAGACTCTCTGTTTTAAAACATTTAGTGGGCTCAAGGTGGAGCTGTGGCAGAGAGACACTGATGAATGCTTACAAACTATTAGGTTCAACCAATTATTGGTTATTTTAGTGAGATCTTCATCACAGCTCCGGAGAACGTAGCCCAGAGCCTAGAAGTCTTGCGGAACCCAGCGTTACGCACAGTTACTGGGGCAGTGAGATCTACTCTTAAAAAGAACTGTATTGCACTTTCTCGCCATAAGGACATTGTTAAAAAGTACTGGCCCGTGAATTAATGACTTAAGCACTAATATTGGGCATTTGTAAAATAAATAAAACATAAGTTAGATGGATTATTTTGATTAGTTGTAGAATACTTTAAAAAGTTCATTGGTAAATAATGCAGATCAATCGCTTTCTATTTCTCAAAATGTATTAGAGCAGAGTTTTTTAAACTTTGGGCCGCGACCTCCATAGGTGGGAGTCACCAAAATTTTTAGCAGTTTTAATATTTCTATAATTTATTATAATAATTTTACAATTACCAAATATTTTTGCACAATGTATCTGAAAATAGATAAAGATAAGACAATACAAAGAAAAAAAAAACGTTTCGACTCATTATTTTATAATATAAATGTTCATTTGACTTGCGTTGCACGTGAGGTTGTCATTTCGTTTGTTACTTATTTAAAATTTTCACATTGTTCTACGTCTTAAAATTAGAAATTAAAATTAATGACTAAAAGTGCAATAGTACAGCAGTACAAGTGAAAAGATTGAGTTTCACTCATGCGTGTGGTAGGTTTGCGCAATGCGTATGGGTTCGCACAAAATTTTCGTAAATTTTATGGGGTCTTGGGGTCGCGAAAACATCTCAATGATAAAAAGAGGTCGTGAATGAAAAAAATTTAAAAAGCCCTGTAATTAGAAAATACTGCACCGGGGGATCATCGTTAAAGCTTGCTGTAAAACCAATCGGTAGCTCTAAACAGTAAATGGATTGGCACCAAAATTTATGCATACATTATTCAAAGAATGCGGAAAAGGCTTTCGAAGAAAAAATATTTAAAATGTTTACTGGAGGCTCTTCGCATAATGAAAAAGAAAATATTAAATAAAAGATAAAGTGCAAAAACATTTTAATACAAGCACTACGAATATCAGAGAAAGAAACGTCTCTTTTAGCTCTTATTGCAATAAAAATCTGATTTATATAGACGGAAGAGAAGGTAACTTAGCTCTACATATAAGAAGGATTACTGTAAATATTCTCAATTAAGATAAAGGCTGACATTTCAGGCAAGCATGCTTTAGTAGTAAAATTTATCTATGAAAAATATGGCTATGCTTCTCAAATTTCGCTGGCTTATCAAGTTACATCACGTCCCATTGACCTCCAGTCTCTGTCCGGAAAATAAATATGAGCTTTGTGAAGATGGGGAAATTATGAATTAGACGTTGGATAGGGAATGTGTACAAAATGAAAATACACAAATTATTGAAGATAATATGAGGCTTGTGGCCATCGGGGCATAGTGTTGATTTCAACAATGCAAGCTCAGTGTTTCATCAGTTAAGACATCGCATATAAGCGAGCATGAAAAGTGTGGCTCAAGTTGGCATACGGGTTTTCTTGTAACACCAAAGCCGCAACCAAAAGCTGTGTAACGGTCACTAGAACCAGCTACTGTTCGCAGTGGCTTTTCTCGTCAGCATGGGAGTTTATGTGTCATGACCGTAGATCATCCTTTGCAGCTATGAAGAGCATTTTCATAAGAACGGAAACTCTTAGAACCGTAGGATTTGGCCTAAGGAAATTTCCCTTATATTGAACGTAGCACCTTTATATTTTCTTGAAACTGAAGTTTAAAAGCAGCTATGAATTCATTTTCACAATTATATTCGAGACATTCTTATTTTCGAAAATTGCTCAAAACGACCTTGTGATATTGCTACCAGCAGCCAGCAGATAACAGCCAGCAGATACCATAACATTTTGTAGACATCTGTTTCATAGCCTATGGGGTCAACAGCAATATGCCTAGTTTCTATACTTTTTGGTTAGATGTTGAATCCTCACATATTACACAAAAGGGCTGTATTTAACGTACCACAGTTTTGCGGATATGTTTCACCTGTTGTTATTACCTATCATATGTAGTAATTACTACCAGCCCAATGAAATCTTTGGAAATATGGCAGCCAAACTGTAAACAGTAAAAAAAATTAGTTTTGTTTCAGAAGTTAGCAATACGGTTAGAATTAGAACGAATTCCTGGCAATTTTTATTGCTGCTACAATAATTAATTTTTGAACTACATTTTAAATTTACATTACTTTTTCTTAATGCTTTTACGTCTTGATTAGGTAAATGTTTCATATTATTCTTTGCATTTCATACTGATCTTTGTTTCCGCGAATCTAAATTGTTTAACTTAACTCACTATTCAATAGTGTTGACGAATTGCAAGGGGAACTTTCTTCAGTTTATGATTTGTTTCTTCATTGTGGTGAATTCAACATTACCTAATCCAGGTATTTTTTCCTTCAAAATAATTACTCAGCTCAAAAGTACACAAACTACGGGGTAATTTTTTAGTGAGATAAATTTTTGCCTAATTGCTCCGAACTTAATTTAATTCTCCATAAAATTAATTGTTTTTAAATTAGTAACAATTTGCTTCCTCTTTGAATTCTCTGGCAATTAACTGATCAGTTTTGTATCATAGCAGTTCTAATAACTGAATTGCATAGTGCTCATTCTGCAAATTAATGCATTATACTTTTGTTTTAACAAAACTGAATATAAGCTAATATCTCCATGATTTACGTCGTATTTGTGCATTAAATTCTTTATTTCTAACCGAATATTTACATTGCCAAATTTACGTTGCATTCATTTTTAAAACTTCTATTTTCTGCTTCCATTTTGAAATTTTTAAGCTCAAATTCTGTTTATTTTTTTATGTATTTATCTCTTCTTTTTCTTACTCTGTCTATTAATAAAAAGTCTGTCCCAAAGAATATGACGAATTCTTCTTGATAGTTGTTACTTTAAAATACTAGCTTACTACTAGAAGCTTCTTTCCCTAACGTTATTGTTATTTCTATCAAATGCAGTTTTCGACTTTTAGAAATCTGCTCAATGGATCCTCAATAGCCGCAGGTCTCCCTGTGCTAAGGTAGCATAATCATTTGCTTTCTAAATTAAGGCTTGTATGAAAGATTTAACATCTTAATTTATTTATTTTAACTTATCTGGTGATTTTGTACTCAAAATATCATATATAATATATATTTCGAATAGAAATACCTCTATTTATATTTGTATAATATTCAGTATATTTTCATAAAAATCAGAAGAGAATTCTTAAACATTTCTACAACGTTTAAGAACGTATAAACGTTAAAAAACGTTTAAAATGTTTCTTACAGCTTTCCATTTTCTTTCTTAACGCACAACACACTCAAACGCACATGGGTACATCCAACGTAATCTCATAGTAATCCAATACGAATCCCATTTCTGATACGCTAGGTTGCCTATTCAAATTGAATATTTAGATTGATTATATTCTATTACTTTTTATACATTAATTTATTGATGAATCTATTATTTATGTATACAGCATGTAGCATATTTGGATAACGAAACTACGTGCATCATATGCATTCTAGCACACCCCTCACTATTCAACTCGGAGTCTTACATTACATCCGTCAATCTCTTCGTTCCAGTCACTTTAGATAACTATTACCGACCTGGGATGGCAGCTTGCCAGTCACGTTTATTTTTAAATTCGCCCCTATTTTTTGTGAGATTGATTTCTAATGCTCCTTAAAACTCAGCTAGCAACGATCTAGTGGAGCGGTTCGAATGTTCTTTGAAGGAAGCTCTCAGGTGTCATACGAATCTTAGATGTATTGAAATCTTGCTATTGGTCACTCTTGGCCTAAGAATGACTTTTAAAGTTGACTTACAGTGCAGTTATTTAGAAATGCTGTATAGTAGCAACTTGTCTCTACAGGAAAGTTTCACACTGTCTTCGGTTTCGTAAAAATATCATTCAAAATTTCTCAACCTGCTATACGATTATATAGATTTTGATTATCAGTCTCATCATCTTCGCACATGAATTCTTCAGTACCTCTACTGTATATTCACCTTTACATTCATGTTCTCACCTGTTTGTATGTTCAGATGAATTCGGGAAAGCTCTTCAATCGCTTTATATTAAACCGCAGACCTCATATCAAAGCACTTCTGTTTGCTCAAGCATGGTAAACATATAGTTTTGCTTCATCATCTAAAATTGTTGCCGTTCCAGCAGCTACTACAGCTTCCTTATGGTCGACGTGTATTTTAGCCCATGATTTCTTTAAACTCTTCGCGCCAAGTTCGAAGTATTTATACTTAAATCACTCGAACTCGTGAATAATTATAAATTTTAAAGTCTCTTTCGACAGAGGTGGGACATTGAGCTCTAATACTTTGGTGATTACACCATTCAACCGTCGTACTATACAAAGATATCGTGAAGAATGTTCATTGTAACAACAGTTCGAAGATGGCAACTTAATAACTTTTTTTTTTTTTTTTTTTTTTTTTGCTGTATGACTCTTGTTCAGATGTTTCCTATGCTAGCGGAGAAATACAGCGAGAAACGAGGTTTAGACTGGTTCCTGATGAAAAGTGTTATTTGTTGTTATTTGTTGCTGTGTTAAATTCGTGTTCTGTGTTGAATACGTGTATTAGTTATGTCATAGATACAGGTGTTTTGCGCTTCTTCAGTGCCTGCAAGAATTATATTCTTTGAGAACTCAGTAATGTGTAAACAAGTTTATCAAGGCCATGTTATCCAATTCCTGCGAGCAAAAGAAGTGGAAGACTATCGGATTACTAGCACTGCTGACCATTACTTCTTTTAAATGATTTGCCGCTACATTGATATAAATAAGACTAGGCAACTATCTGAAAATTTTTTTGATATTTTGAAAAATGTTAAAACTTTTATTAGAATTTTATTAAAAGGATTTTTTGAAGGTAACTTTGATTATTTTGAATGGTACTTGCTTGTTTCATAAATGTATTGTAATTTATTATTGCTTATAATTTACCATATTATTATTATTATTATTACTGAAGTAAAAATAATGCTTTCTTTTATTAAGGAGAAACCATCCTATAACTCTTCGTGTCCTAAAGGTAAGTCTGTTAATAATTATTTTATTATACATATAAAAATTAAAGATTAAAAACACTAAGCAACTTTTATAACTGAATTCTTTTTTTTGCGGTACCAGAAATCCTTGAATATATTTTCCCCAAGAATAACATTTTTAATACCAAGATAAAAAGGACATATATTATTGAAGTAAAAATGTTGTGAGATAAATCAAATTATAAGTTTATTTAAACTGTAATAAAATATTATGGTTTGCAAATTAAATCAAGTGAAAAAATATATATTAAAGATTTATTCTTCCTTTAACATATTTTCATATGGTATTATTTGTTCCATTTTAGTCCGGGAGCTTACTGCTTTTATCATAAAATATTTAATTGGTATTTATTCTGAATATTAGGCTGATCAAACGATAAAAAGATAGGGCCGTCGTGGGTGCAAAATGTTCAGTCAAGCCTCTTTATGTACTAGCAATGTAAAACTTCGGTGAAGTAAAGATCACCTATTAATTTTTATGCAAGCATGATGATTTTGGAATGAACCATCCACTAACCGTAAATTTTGCCGATGGCTATAAGTCCACTAAGTGTTATGAAGAAATTTGCCATAAGGTCGAGTAATTTTATGGTACTTAAATATACCGAGACTTAAAGCAATATCCTGCAAAAGTGAAAAAGAAATAAAAAACCACAGGTCCAAAATTGAAGTATAGCTAAGGTTGCTTGTTTGCTAATTTTAAATTATGCATTGACAAGTTTCTCTTCTAATTAGAAAGACATATTTCATAGAGGGAACTCACTTTTGACAATCATTTATCTTTATGAATAAGCATTGGTATTGAAATTCACTTCTTTGAGGCAACCATTTTCACAAAGAGTATAAATCGTCTAAACGAACGTGTGGTGTTCTTAGAGAGAAGGATTCTAAGAAATACATAATAATATATTTAATACAGGTCTTAGGAAGGGGTCGTCACAAGAAATTTCATCGTATTCATAAAGTGAAGGAAGATATTTTTTCATTTTTACTACTATGGAATATTTTTCACATTAAGTACTTTTCTACCGGTTTTCTCCTCTTTCTTCTGAAAAGGCTAACTTACTGCCTTTTAGGCCATTTTGATTTAACTATTTCAAATGATTTCATACAAGTTTTTGCGGAAATGTGTTCTATAAAATATCCTTATTTTTTTTTCCTATGCTAGCGGAGAAATATCGTCCTTTTATACATGTTTTCTTTTTTTGAAAATAAAATATAAAGCAACAGGTTCTGCTATTTTGTATGTATGCGTTATATTAATTGCTCTTCAATCGAAGCTATTTATAAGCTAACATTTAATCTGACATTCTTACTCGGATGTTGTCCTATATGTAAATACCAATTTTCTTCTTGTACTTTCCTATTTACATGGAAAATATATTAATTCTTTACGTTAATTATTTTATAATAAACATATATTACCTTTGCAGGTTATAAATGTCATTAAAAATGCACATGTATCGTTAAATAAGAATCTTCGAGTTTTTAAAACTGATTTAAAGAAAATATATTCCTTATAACTAACTTGATTTGTGTGCTTTTTTAAAATAAAAAAATGAGATACTGCAATTATAAATAAGTGGCAAAATGACAAATATAATATTTAGCATTAAGTTTATGAAAATTTAGAAAAGATTTAATAAGACAACCAAGTTATTGGATCAATTTTCAGTTCGAAACACCTTCTTTCTTTTCAGATGTTTGTGGTTGCCTTTTGAAAGGGGATAAGGGCGTAGTCACCAGCCCTTCATTTCCTGATATTTATCCATCCGATATTAATTGCGTGTGGGAGATAGTCGCACCTCCAAATTTTCATGTCTACCTCAACTTCACCCATTTCGATCTGGAAAATCCGCTTGTAAGTATTTTCTTCATTGTTTCCTTTCTCATTTAAGTCCTTTTCATTTCAATCTTATTTTAAAATTTGCACCTCAATGCGCAATTTTTTGACCTATTTCTCTCAATTTTTAATTTGCTACTTTCTACTTTTACAGGCAAAGTTACAGTATATATTTCTCCTTTGTTAGTTCTCATTTGTTTGTTTATAAAGTTCTCATTTGTTTCCACTAAATAAATGGTATATACTTCATCATTAAGAGTAATCTGGCGTATTTCTAATGGAAACACTGAAAAGAATGTCCAACTTGGTGTCTCTAAATTTTATAATAACCTGGATCTCTGATCGCAGACCTATGATACCAGATTAAACTACAAAAGCTCTCAAACCACAATAGTTTTTGTTATATGAAAATCTTTCATTAAAATCTATGAAAATTAAATTCGTATAAATGTCTGGAAAGTTAAAACTTCAATGAGAAGAACGTTTTATGTAGCCGAATAAGCCAAAAGACTCTATACTTAAATTATCAATGATTACTTGAGATATTAATTAAAATTTGGAGAATTGTTGCTGCTGAAGACAGCTACGCCTGTTAGGTAATAGAATGCCGATTTCTGAGATCCCATATCGGAATAAGAAACCACAGTTAAACGGAATTAGAACATTCAGGGTTAAGAAGAACCACGAGGCATTCAGGTATGCAGTAATCTCAGCAACCTTGATCTTCTTTTCTTCTGTGCTTTACGCAAAACGCTCTGAAATCACATGTCATTAAATCTAGCATAGTCTTTCTCAAGCCACTTAACTTTGTGAACCATATGCCTATAACAAATTTTCTCTTTTCGACGCTTGAGACAGTGACGTATAATGTCTATCTGTTCAGTTATCATTTTACTCATAGAAGTGGTAGTTGCGACTCTTCTCCACTCACATACATGAAGTTTTTTGAAAGAAAACACTCACAAAAAATTCCTCAAAGAAAAATATAATAGTAAAGTAATAATTAAAATGTATAATTAATTTAACAATTAATTGGTAATTATGGATAAACCCGCAGTTATAGGAAAATGCTTGTAATTACACAATAAGTAAAAGAGTACTTCAGAACGTCTTGCGACTCACCAAAATGTGTTTCCTGAATTACACTTCAAATCATTTATGTAGACCAATGTTACACTACTACAAGCTTTGCTCTTGTATGACGTCAGTGACTCCTATTTTACTCAAAAATAACTTTTTACCTAATCAAAATCGTAAAAACAACCTTGTATTTAGCGTAAGTATAATGTTATACTTACGCTAAATACAAGTTTACGCTAAATACAATGTTTTTACGATTTTGATTGTCACATTAGCATGTTTCTAGTCTAACGTTTACCTACTTTTTTGTGCGTCTATTTCTCTCAACGTCAGTAAACACACAGGTTTAAGCTCTTTCATGGTCAAACCTTTCTCTTTCTGACGCTCGAGACAGTGATGTATCTTGTCAGTCCCACTCATAGAAGTGGGAAAACCATGTCGGTTGATTTAGGTCAAGAGAAAACCTTGTAAAAGAAAAACTTAGTTTCTTTCTTTCTGTATGTTAATGAAATCAGCTTTGGGAAGAGCCTAACATTCTTTGTCTACTGAATTTGTTATAGACTAGACGCATGGTATTTTAATACTCATAGATCAATTTCAGAAAGTTCTGAGAATGCACAAAAGCAAAATGCAATCAGAAAAGTAAATGCTATTTGGACAAAACTTTTCTTCTTCTGATGTGGCTCCACACAAATACTATTTTTCATTATGCTTACACGATACCTACTGTTTAGTATCTGCCCTTGAGTGTGCAATTTTTATATCCGTTATTAGCAGAGAGAAATCAGCTTGAACATTGTCATCACTCGCAGATTTTAAGTGTTTTCATCACTGAAATGCTGAAGAACGGTTAAATTTTGTATGCATAATATAATATGCCAAGTGCCGTATATTTCTAAACGTAAACCGATCCATTTCGATGCATAAAACTTTGCTGCGAAAATTCAGCCAAAGTTGGAAATCGCTGAATAAGCCGAAATTAAACTCGCTCTTTGAATCCAGCTATATACTCTATGTTAGAGAAATATCTGGAAAAATGCAAAAGCAGGAAGAGGGGATATTAAATAGATTTTGTAATGGAAAGTATGGGCTCAAATGTCGAGTTGATGTGGTACAGGACAATAATGAGTGAAAGATAAAAGCGTTCTACTTGCGTGAATTGTCATTTCGCATTTGAATTTCAATAGTGCACATCGTTACTCGATAGCGTAGTTTTAACAATACGCATTTTATCAATAAGGCTGTAGATGGAAACGGAGCAGCTGATTAAAAGAACACATGGAAATCATTAACTGTACAATTTTTTAGTAGATGTAGACTAGCTTTGCACATAAAATTCATATCGGTGAGCTTCGTGTCTATGTAGCGATGCATACCGCTCGAAACCGCACGGGGAATGGCAATTAACGCTGACTGAACGCTTTTATCTTCGGCTCAACAGACCCCTATCACCAAAACACCAAAACAACATCAACGCGCCATTTGTGCTTATGCATTCTATTGTGAAGTTATTTGGTTCTCTTCTAACGGCCTCCATATTTTTGCTATTATATATATATATATATATATATTATGTATATATATCGCTAAAGGTACAGATAATTGGTCATATATATAATAATAATTTTAAAATGCATAGATGAAGACACTGGAACTTCAACAACTTACGATACGATATTCCGTTAGATGGCTCAGAAGATCGTAGTGGCTTGAAGGTGGCTGAAGGGGGAAAAGCATGATGACGACTCAGGACGTTTCACTTTTAACAGCAAGCATATCTTTATTTTAATTTATAGCAGATGACTTTTTCCAGATGAAGTTAATCAAATAACTTATTCAGTGATTGAACTATTAGATACGACTGACTTAAACTTAATACATCATAACGTTCTAACAAAAAAAGAGGAGCATAGCGGAAGCGTTAGCAGGACGAAGGCGAGAAGGCATCTGTCTAGGAGAACTTATGACTCAGCATTTATATGAATGGTTATGTAACAGAGTAGCTTCTAGAAAAATGTAGAAAACTTATGACGCAGCATTTATATGAGGAGGTTATGTAATAGGCGTGAATGTTCTAGCAGGTACTGGGTTAGGGGACGATCCTGAATTGCAGAAAATTAATTAAAGGTTGCTGGTTCGCAAAGAGCAAAGCCATCGTATTTTTTTTTTTTTTTTTTATTTTACATCTTCCCCCCCCCCCCCCCCCGTCAAAAAGAGAGGCCGGGGTGAGAAAAGCATTAGTACAGGAGTGAAGCAAAAGTATGAGAAAAGACATGAAAACATCCAGAACATAGCGTACAAGCTTTGACTATGGCCTATGATAGTTCATGACTTTCTCATATAAAATTTTGACTTATAGCATATGAAATTTTGAAATTAAAACAATGAGTTATAAATAAGTATAAATATATGACTAATTTTAAAGACTATAACATAATAAATATGGAATACTGATAAATAAATAAGTATAATTACAAAAGTCCTCAATTTGTTAAAAATGTCCATTTTGTTTTGAAAGTCCTTTTCATAAAAAGAGTTCGAATAGAATGAAAATATCTGGTAAAATCTCTAAATGCCAGATAGTCCACAATAAGATGCATTTGATAGTTCACAAATATGATGCTTTTTTCCTTTCATCGTAAGATTGACATGTTTTACCTTCAATACAAAATATTATACTTATTCAAGAACAATCAATATAAATAATACAATTATACACTAGAACATGAACACTTTGACTTAAAACTATGGATGTCCTCGCCAACAGATCAGCGTGATTACTTGTGATGGTTGGGGGGTGCTAGGTACAATATCGAAAAACCTCCGTTGCCTATAGTATTAGTGCAGTTCTCAAAGGCCAGTTACCTTAATGCAAGGAACGGAGGCCTTTTCAAGTAACTGTCTAGGCACCCTGGGCCACCAGTGCAGAGAACACACTGGTTAGCTCAAGAGTACAGCCCTTTGGTGGATATATTTGTTTAGAAGTATTGCGAGGCCTTCCAGTTTGGTAAAATCAGGAACTGATGAAATGATAATAACGGTGAAACTATAATTTTTTAAACTGTTACTCCTATTGTATGGTGTTAAAATTAATTTATCACTATGGAAATTAGTATCATAAATAGATACGTATGTTACATTTAATTATAAGTAATGATTATGTAAAAGTTGATTTTCGGATATCTGATAACAAGAACCTTCCCTGAAGAATTATGATTATGTGAATTCTCAAACAAAAGACTTTGGATGAAATGCTGAAAAATTCAATAGGACTCTAAAAATTAAAAATTTATTAAAAAAAATTGAATTTATAATTATACTTTAGAGGACAAAAATTTATGATTATGTTTTTTTTTTTTTTTTTTTTTTTTTTTTTTTTTACATTTGCTAGTGCTTAACTCTTTCTCTTTCAAAAGGTTCTCTGTCGCTACACTTTTTCTTTTTGAAGGGGGGAATATGTAAGATAAAATATATGAATCAGAATAACTAAAAACATTAATTCTTCCTCTTTATTCTAAAATCGTAATACTTCTCTGCATTGCGTCATTTCTAGATCACTCTATGGGCCGCGCAACTCTGATTGAGTAATAATTAAAAACTGAAACTGACCTTGTAAACCAAAACTTTTCTTTCACGTACTTCCCATCTTTCAAATACGCACTTCAGCTTTGCCTGTGCTGCCCTTGGGCGCATTTCCCTATGCTGCTTCCTATTGCAAAATATCAATATGTAAATGGTCTTGAACAGGCACGACTAGGGTGCCAAATGATCTGTGGCCAATATGTCATTTGGAATAAAAATGGAATAAAATCGCTTCTACTGCCAGTTTATTTACTAAGTCAAACACATTCATTAGTTACGACGCAATCAGATTTTCTCTTCAGTTTAGGATAACAACGCATCAACAGTGTTCCGACTTTTCCTTGCTGCTATTATGACATATATATAGATATATATTATGTATATATATCGTAAAGGTACAGATAATTGGTCATATATATAATAATAATTTTAAAATGCATAGATGAAGACACTTATATACATATATGCGGCAAGATGCATGAGAAATAGTGCTTTAAGTAACGAACACTTGTGAATAGACATGGAGTCCTAGTACTTCGGAATAACTACCAACCACATACAGCAGTGTTAACCCTATAGCAAATCAACAATTGGGTTGCAGCCGAAAACATCGCCGCAAAAATATCGGGGACGAAAACGTCGAGGAGAAAACGACGCAAGGCGAAAACATCGTGGTATAAAACATCGTGGAAGGAAAGAAAAGCAACGATAAAACATCGCAGTTCTAAAAGATAGTGGTACAAAATATCATCGTCGAAAATAGAGCGGTTCAAAAACTTCGCAGTTTAAAAACATCGCCGTCGAAAATATCCTGTTAAAAATTAAAGAACCTACAAATCATCGCAAGACTAAAACATCGCACACATGCTTATTTTAGGTTTTAAAAGTTGTAAATGCATATTCACATAAGGATTTCGAAGCACAAAAGATGTTAACGGCATTTTAAGAATAAACGGAAACAAAACAAGATATAATTTTCACCAAAACAATATCAGATTAACCAACGTGAAAGAAAGCATTCTGATAATTAACCAAGCAATTTTTATAGAGGTAAACTCATGCAGTTATTTATCTTCCTTTTTCTAAATATTTGTAGGCTGTATTTTTCATGAAAAATTATGAGTAAAACTTTATAAAAAAAGATTAATTTATTAATGACCTTTGTTAATCAACTACGTAAATTTAAAATTCTATTAAGTGCTATGAGTTGCATTAATGTTCTACTCACTTTCAATTCTTAAATGCTTAATTTCCTTCTTACAAAAGGTATAAAAAAGTAAAAATGCCCTCTTTCCTTCTTGCGCTTCCAAATCATTATGTGCGTTTACAACTATTACAATTATGCGATGTTATCGTCATGCAATGATTTGTAAGTACTTTTTTTTTACCATGATATTTTGGACGACGCTGTTTTTAAACTGCGAAGTTTTTAAAAAGCTTTCTTTTCGACGAGGATATTTTGTATCACGACGTTTTAGAACTGCGATATTTTCTCTTTGCTTTTTTTTTTTCTACCACGATGCTTTGTACCTCGACGTTTTCGCCTTGCATTACTTTCTCCGTGACATTCTCGTCCGCAATGTTTTCGGCGGACGCCAACAACTGTGCCTCATGCTCAGTCCTATTCTGACACTTACTCCTCTCAAATTACAGTTCTGCAAAGACTGTAATATTTTTTTTTTTTTTTTTTTTTTTGGCAGAAAAGTTTTGACAGCGACGTATTGATTTATCGGGCAATGGATGACTTTCCCACTTTCAAAGCCCCTAATTCTTTTAAACGTGGCTTTCTGATACGTTCGAAACAATTTCTTGATTTTGCTGGAAATTAATTTGATTAAATAGGTGTTTTTTTATTTCCTTTTCTTACAATCTTTCTTAAAATACGCCATTTCATGTTCAACAACGTAATATTTTTACTTTATTGTTGTGTGAGAGATTTGTTTTAGGTGATGCTTCTCTTTGTGAGAAGAAAATTATTATTTTGAGAGATACTGTTTTCAAATAATATCTTTAATTTTATTTCTTCTCAAGGATGAGGATTTTTGTTTATACGACAGTATGAATATTCTAAGTAAAACTTTCGTGAACGGAAAACGGAAGGACAAAGCTAGCTACTGTGGATCACAATTGCCTCCAATGATGAAATCCGAAGAGAATCTTATTAGAATAGAATTTACTTCTGACAACTCCATGCAAAAGAGTGGTTTCTCTGCTGTGTTTTTCACAGGTTATTACTTTGCATATTTTGTAAAAAATGCAGTACTGTTATTTACTATTAATGTAAATTTGACAACACAAATATAATACGTGTTATTTACTATTAATGTAAATTTGACAACACAAATATAATACGTGTTATTTACTATTAATGTAAATTTGACAACACAAATATAATACGTGTTATTTACTATTAATGTAAATTTGACAACACAAATATAATACGTGTTATTTACTATTAATGTAAATTTGACAACACAAATATAATACGTGTTATTTACTATTAATGTAAATTTGACAACACAAATATAATACGTGTTATTTACTATTAATGTAAATTTGACAACACAAATATAATACGTGTTATTTACTATTAATGTAAATTTGACAACACAAATATAATACGTGTTATTTACTATTAATGTAAATTTGACAACACAAATATAATACGTGTTATTTACTATTAATGTAAATTTGACAACACAAATATAATACGTGTTCCTGCTTTCTAAATTTTAGTAAAGAATTTAAATTTTAATAGTAATGTAAAGTTAGCAATTAAAACAAAATATGTGGAAAGTTAATTATTAAATTCTCATTTGCTTTATTTCTAAACTTTATATCGTTATAATATGGTCAGAAATGCTATTTTTCATCCTTTACGTATATGAGTGTATGAATCTGGCGACAGATTTGCTGTATATATTTGCTCCGGCACTGTTATTTTTAGAACATGCCTTTTTCTGCTATTAGTTGTAAAAAAAGGCTTATTTTTTAATTTTGTAACGAATCGCGGCTTGATTTAACAGTATTCTTTCACTCAAAAGTTTAAAAATAATACGTGAATTAAGAAAAATAATCCATAAATAATAATAATAATCCCTATAACTGATGAATTAAGACGCTTGCGAAACAGGAAAGTCTAAAATATAAAACTATCTGCTTTTTTAAAACTAGCGTTTAATTTCTTTTTTGATTAAATAAATCCTTATTGTAAAATGTATGTATTCATTACTAATTAAATGAAACATGGTTTGTAGAGGTAGAATATTTTATTATTGCTTATTCATATCGCTAGGCCGAATGAGAGCTAAAGTATTAGTTTATTACCTAGCGTTATGCTGCTCATCTTATGCTTGTTTAAACTGAAGAGTGAATATTCCTCAACATTTATTGATTTCAGACATCGGATTTTCAATCGTGCTTAAGTTAATTAACATGGTTCGATTTTCCTTTCTGGGTTACATTCGATATCACTGATTGTAACTAAGTTATTCATTATCTTTTTGAAGGTCTCATTTACATTGTACTTGATGTGGCTGTGTAAAATTAACACAGAATAGTTAAATCTGTCAATTAACAGAATAGTTAAATCTATCTTTGAGGATGCATACATTGAACAGAAAGCTGTTGGAAATAGATTTCTCGGATTTAGAATTTTAAGTAATGGAACCCAATTTCAAATGCTACATTAAAATTATTTCTTGTAAGTTAAACTAACTAATGTAAAATGTTTTATTCACTCACACGCAAACACACGTGAAATAGTATAATAGTTTTAAATTACACTGGTCGACAGATTTAAATGTTTTTTCATGAAAACATTGATCTTGAAAATGCTGTATTTACGGAATTTTGCATTAATACCATATCGTTGAAACAAACCCCGTGTTCCAAAATAAAAGTGAACATTAAAAATTATTAAAAAGTTAAGAAACGCTACCTAGAGCAAACTTGTGGCATGCAGGCTGCTTGTAATTCTTTGTTCATACCATGAAAATAACAAAATTTCAATAATATTAATAAGAATGGGACTTTCACAGCATATATACAGTCTCGATGGCTGTAGAGTAGTCAAGACAATATCTTGGGGGAAAAAAAAAAAAACTGTTCCATTTATAGATGGAGTTAATAGGTATTCAGTGCCACTCAATTGTCCTACCAGTGGCTGAACGGTTAAAACATGCTAAATTCTGATATTGCGTTTTTATTTGCCTCGTTTGGCTTTTGTCACATTAATTTCAGATGGAATTCCTTAAAATGTGAGGGCTTACCGGCAGCCAAAAGGTAAAGTTATAATTTATTAGGTAACTATATGTAGTTATACATAACTTATTCAACAACTAAAATTAAAATTTAATTCCCTGCAAAATTTGCTGCGAAGAATTTTCTTAAAAATTTCACTTCACGATAGTTTTGTCAATTTGTAATGGATACAGAATACTAACAGTAAACGCGTAAGGAAATATGCCTTGATTATTATTATAATTTTTATTAAATTCTTTCATAATTATTAGAAAGCAAACAACCTATCAAAAAGGAAGGAAATATTAATTTTATACGAAATTAACTCGTTGCATTCACTTCTACTAAACTATATTTCATGGAGTTGAGCATATGTTGTTATTGGTAGTTGGTAGTATTAAAATCTTTGATTTCGTTTTGGGATAAAATTACCATAAAAACATGTTCTTCAAAGACATTCATCTCTAGTTATGAAATAAAATTTAATTGTAAAATTTAAATGCTTGGTAAGTTCTATTTTTCTTGAAAATCAGAAAGAATTTTACAGTATTTGTATATAAACAATAAAAATATTTATATGCAGCAGTAATAATAGTCTAATAATAGCAGAAGCAACTTTTTGCTTTAAATATAGCAGAAGTTATTTTTCAGCACGAAGATTAATTCTACATTTCAAACCAATGTCGAAACATTATCTTTTGATATTTCAGATGTGAATGAATGCGCCGTAGGAAATGGCGGCTGTGAGCAAATTTGCACAGACACAATTGGAAGTTACGAGTGTTGGTAACGATGGTCTCTCTCTTCTTCCTGACGGTCATAGTTGCAGTAATGGTAAGCGACTCCGAAGGTATATTGAAAGTTTTCTCACAGTATTTTCAAACTCTGATAATCTATCTAGAGAAACGATATTACTTTAATGAGCAGAAAGATTATTATTTGGAACAGAAGATTTTTAAGTTAATTCAAAACCCTTCTGTTTTCATTATATGCAGGGTTAATAATCCCGATTAATTCATCCCATTTTTAAAACAATCCCGGTTAATTCACCCCATTTTTAAAACAATCCTGATTAATTCATCACATTTTTATACAAGATACCATGATGTGATAAGAATAGTATTTTTTTCCATATGCAAAAGACTTTGAATTTAATATTCAGGCGAAGAAAAATAGTTATTAAGCACAGAGTAGGAGATTGTCAAATGACAAACATTTTCTACACCAGATAGTTAATACGCAGAGCGGAATTGAAATTTTTGCTGCTTCGGGTGGCAAATGTGCCACAGAAGAAATATATGAGCGTCATCTTTCACGAGTTTTGAAAACTTTAAAACTGTAAATGGTATTATTACAATATCAGTTTAAAACATTTTGACGAAAAAGTTCTAAATTAGCCTTTTAATATTTCAAAGTAAGTGATTTTTTAAATTTGAACTAAAACAAAATATCGCGCAACTCTTAGTCAGTTCTACTAAGTTACACGCATTGTCAAAAGTTGCATTTACAAGGAAACGATTTACCTTATAAGGTGTTTTTTCCGTCTTCTAAGCATGCTTTCCTAGTGTAGCGGTATGCACGCTGGGCGCGTATTTCAAAGGTCTGTGATTCGATTCCCGGCGAAGGCGTTACTCATTTTTCATTTCTCCTGCTTAAAAAAATTTCTGTTCTGAATGAAATAAAGCACTGTTAGATATGTTCACTGATACAAATACTGTTCTTCATAGATATGCAATGATTCAAATTTGCCATTCACCCACGCAAATAACGTGAAAAAGACTGGCTTATTGGCATATCTGAAATATTTTGAAAAGCTGTTCTGATGGGCTTAATGTTTATTTTGAAAAGTGTTGCTGTGCTGAAACTATTGGTTTGAAATGCACTATGAAATTAGTTTGACAGAGATCTAATCCGTTAGACGCTTTTTCGAGTCTGTTCGTATCTTCTTACCTTAGGAAGCCAGATGATCCTTTCCTAGTACGTCAACCCCACATCTTTCTCGCGGGTGTTATTGTCGGATATTGCTGGAGATACTGGATGCAGTAAGATATGCATTTATGGATATGCGAGGTATGGGACAGCTCCCTAGATAACAATAAGGAAAGACAGAAAGATGATTCAGCTTCAGAGAATTACACGATCTGCTACAATTTCGGATATTCAGCACACAATGACTTGCTCTCTATAACATCCTGTAGGTGCCGGTAACATCAGTAGATGGCTAAACGTCTTTGGTTGCAGGCATACAGATCATTATGATGGTAGCCTCTAATGTCACAACAGTCATCAGACGCAATGTCTAATGTCACCAAAGACAGCACTGGTGCTGAGAAACAAAATAATGAAACTATTAACACTCATATGATTGTCTCGGTGACGTCTTATATAATAATACTTTTATCAAGACCTGTATTAGTATTCGCAGAAATGCAACTCTTTATGGAAGTTCTAGCTATGAGAGGAGTCTTGTGTTTCACGTTGTAATTAAAAACTGACAATCAGAAGGATTTTGAATGCAGTGAAATAAAAAATCTGATGTGTACATCACATGACTTCCTTATACTCTATATTAAATTATACGCAGTTTTTCCTGCATTTCATTTAAACGTATTTCCTCGAATTTCATTAGAAATATATTTCTCAATTAATTCAGTTCTCACTTCGCGACAAGGCAAAAATACGTGAAACCTCAAAATACCTTTATTAAAAATTGAAAAATATAGAAAAATATAAAACACCAAATACTTGATAATTAAAAAATTTTTTTTTGCAATTCAAATTAGACTTTATACCCCAAAACAATCAATTCGGCCAGCAGGCAGGAAGACGGATTTTTTGGTGCACAAAACTGAAAGTTTTCTTTTGGTCTCAGTCGGCGAAAAGACAGTGAAGGTGCAGAAACTGAATTCACTTTTCTGCTAAGTTTCAAATGTAAAAAAAAAAAAAAAAAAAAAAAAAAAAAAAAAAAAAAAAATATGGGTGCTATGGTAAAAAAAGTTAGGCTTAGTCGCACTTGAACAACTTTTAAATTGTTGATAATTGTACACTCAGATTAATTAAGGCATAAAAACTTTGATCGGAAGATAAGACCAACATAGTTCAATCACTTTTTAAAGCAAAAAATGCACAACATATAAGAATTAAAAAACTGAGCTCAAGGAGCCGAGGAACTGATTGGATGTATATATATATATAGATATATGTATATATTAATTATATATATAGATATATGTATATATTAATTATATATATAAAGATATATATATAATTTTGGTGAGGCCAATCGAAACCAAAAAGGGAGGTGCACAACTACATGCTAGTCCTATATACAAATTTCAACGTTCGGAGATTTTGCGTTATGAGCGATAAATGCATACGTACGTACGTACAGACGTCTCGAAAAAAATCTTCTTTGAATCCATTTCAAATCGAATCCCGCGAACGGGCTGGCTGCATGGGCGTTTTCGTGGTTTTCCCCTTGTGTAACGTGTATACGAGCCAGTTTCCCTTAGAAAGTCCTCCACGAAAGGCATCCCCCCTTTAGGCAGATAGCCCTCGTGTGCTTTGACATAATTAAATACACACACACACACACACACACACAAATCCTTTTTGCAAACCGTTTTGGGAAAAAGAGTCCTTTAGTCTGTTTTTATATACAATCTTCATGCAACAACATCGTTAAATTGCATTCGATAGAGGACAAAATGGATATTTTCATTGAAATATGACACCCAAAAATTTTCGCGATTACAATACTTCCTTTACTTCGCATAAGGAAATAAAAAAGCTTCATTTTATACAACGGTAGGAAATGAAATAGATATTATCTCGAAACTTTATGATTAGATTGATTTCAAACATGCACTTTTGAGAAATTAATTATGCCATAACAAATATTATGTTCGTCCATTTTGCAGAAACATTGTCGACCGAATATTTTATGTCATACTTGATGTTGCGATGACTGTAATTTTTAGCCAATAATGAATGCAGATGCAGAGCATGTAATTACCATTGAATTTTTGAAAACAACTCGTGCTTTTTCTGTTTAAAGTGGCATGGGACGAAAGCGTATAAAACATTACTTAGTGTACTAGTATGATAAAGGCAGTGCTGCTACCATAACGTACTGGAAAGCTTGTCAAGTATATGGGCATGACACAGTTGACGATATATTTTGAGCGTTCAGATATGCAGCATTAACACACTTCGAGAAAGTTGTAACAAATGCCTTCTGCGAATGGAAATACTCGTTTTGGCATACAGTACAACAGTCAAAAGACGAATCCAGGTGTTTGAGTTCAATAGAATATTTCATTAATGAGTTCTACTCCAGTTTTCTGTTGTATAAGAGGAGAGAGTTGGTATCTGTGTGTTTGTTTTTTCCCTACTCTTTTTTGAACTCTGTATTTAAAATCCAAAACTACGATTTCTATAATGAGTTCCGAAAGGAAATGAAAAAAAATACTATGCCTTAAATCCAGTGTGAAAGAGCTGCGTTCCATAATGCAGATGTTACGCGTTATGCATTAAAAATGGAAAATATTTCAAAAAGGTGTATTAAACACATGGTTAGGTGCAAGATATTGATCTGATAAGGGTTACTCGTACCTAATCATAAAATAAATACTAAAATCTAACATCAAATGGGAAAGCCGGCATTTCAACAGTTAAGATTTCTCAATCGCCGAGGCTTAATTTCATCTACAGAGCTCATGCTAATATAATCATTTGCAAAACAAAAACGTCATGCATTTTGGTTGTTAAATATTATTTCATACTATACATCTTTTCGACTATCTATTTCATACCATGCATCTTTTTGATTATCTATTTCATACCATGCATGTACCGAATTTTCACTTTTCCGTGAAGTTTATAGAGACATCAGGAAGCAGGAAATATGAAAAATTAGCAACGCTTTCGCCAGGAATCGAACCGGGGACCTCTGGAATAGGCGCCCAGCGTACAGACCTCCACACCACGAAAGCATGCCAAGAAGGCGGGAGAAATACCTTATAATTTACAGAGTACTTTCATCTTCGAAGTCTCTGATAATGCGGGGAATGTAAAAAGAGCATTATAACATTTTTTTGAAATGAAAACAGAGCTAGTTATGGGTTTGGAATTAAGCTACTGTTCAGATGCATGGTAAAAGCAGTACAAAATGAAGGGCAATTATGTAAAATCCTAAGCACTTTTATTATTATTATTTTATTATTTTTGCTTATCGATTTTTTTTTGCTTCGTTAAAAATGAGTAGAACATAAAAAAAAACTGCAGTAGTATACCAGTAATAGTTCACAAGAAGGAACATCATTATTTTGAAACTAAACGAATATCGAAATTCTGGCATTATCGTGTAATTCAACTAACAATAACAATAAACAATAAATATCGATTAATAATAGCTTCAGCTCAAAATCGAGAGCATGCCAATCAATCCTATTTCCTAAATAGAATCCGATACGCCTTTATATTAGAGAAAACTGCGATAAAGAAAATCAAGCAGAGAATTGTGAAAAATGTATTCGATACATAATTTAATTTCTATAATCTCACCTATCAAAATTTAATAATTACGTTGGTCCAGACGTTTTAAAAGTGTAACTTTAAACATGTCCTAAGACCTTTTTATTTTTGACAGATAATTGTATGCGTAATGTGACGTCAGACAAAGGCGTTATCAGAACTCCAGGATATCCAAATGATTATCCGGTGAACAAGAAATGCATATGGAAGTTTGAGACTTCTCCAGGACACAAAATCAAGCTGGTAAGAATATATAAGCTTAACTATATGTAATAATATATTTGGAAAACCCTGCGCATTACTAGGTATTAGCAAATAAGCTCAGTATATTTTATTTCATTCAAGTTGAAATTTGTAATTTAGATTCACCAACTTAAATTTAGTTTTAAATTTAATCGATGTTAAGTCTTGATACTTAAAAATTGAGAAAATCATCTTCTTTCATTGTCGGAGATACGTTAAACATAAAACAAAATTGTGCATTATCATAAATTAATTTCAGCAAAAGCTTGCAATTAAATGGCTTCTCCGCCACATCCATACCGGTAGACGAAAGACAATTGAATTCGAAAAAATATACAGGGTGGTCCAAGATAAACCCAATTCGAAGCAAGTGAAGAACGCATGAACTGTTATACAAGTTGATGAAAGAGAAGGTCACGCAGATATTCTGACACAAGATAGGACTTAGATGGCATAACTTTTTTTTTTCCCCCATATTTGATTCTACGACTCAAATTGTGCCCACATATGAAATTTTTTAAAATCTAGTAGGATGAATTTACAAATTTATCTTGGCGCGCTTTTCTCAATTTAAGCCAAAAATTGCGAAGTTCTTAATTTACAGCAATCTATTTTTCTTTCTCGTTTCCTTTGCACGAACGGGAAAAAAGGGCATCTGTCATTATTTCAAATAATTTTAACAAAGTAAAGCACATTTGACGTTATTATCGGTTATAACACATGCGCCTAATTTCGAAAGGTGCTAATTTATAAAATCTCGTATATCTTTAGACATGTTTTTGCAGGTATTCCTAGAAATACATTTACTTTGAGAAGATGGCAAAAATTATATAGCTTATTATTCAAAATTTGTTTCGAAAAATTTATAAAAATTGCTAAAAATATAAATTATAAAAACTAATAAAAATAGTTGCGAATTTTATGTGGATTTTACCTAAATTTTGAACTATGAAAGAAGGAATCAACTACGTTTAATAAAAAGAAAAGATATTAATAAATGTATACCATATTGCAATTAACACTGAGGATCTAAAATTTTGAGAGCTAATTTTTTAAAATCTACACATGCGATTTTTAGAAACTTTGGAATTTTGGCATAAGTTGAAATATGGAAAACAATAGGTATATTCAGAAAAAGTCCGATTTTGTGTCAAAATACCTACGTTAGAACAATTGTTACACGTAGATATAATATATATCCTAAGTTGGGCTTTCGAGACACGAAAATACAAGTTAAATTTTCTCAATCGGCCTATCAGAACGGGAGATATAGAGCTGTCCCATTTTTTTGTATGCAAGGTGTACAACATACCTCGCTGCATGACATTTGAAACGCTATTACTTGTTACTAGCTTGAATATGTAAAATTTCGGTTTCTCCTTTCCCATGTACGGTTCAGTTTGTCTTGGGCTTTCTTGTACAGAATAGCATCTATGGTTTGTAAATGAAATCTCAAGGAATCAATAATTCAGTTTTATATAATTAAATGTATGTTATATATAAAAACGTATTAATTAAATTTTTTAATTAAAAATCATCCATCTCCTTTTTAGCGTCAATTCTTAAGCTGAAGGACTTTTCGAAAAAATGTGAAAGACAAATGAATGTCAAATGATTTCGATATGAAAGACAAATGAATAATTTTGCAGTCTGATATAGACTTTTCCATAAATGTTTGTAATTTATAATGATTAACTTCATTTCTTATCTTTTTCGTAGCATATCGTCTTTAATTTACTTTATTATCTATCAGTTTTATTGTACTCTATGTTTAATACGTTTATATACTTGATATAAAATCTGGTAATAAGTTTATGCAATAATGCTATATTATTTATACGCCTGTATCACATTATAAAGTTTTTAAAAGATACGTAAACCTCATTAACGTATAAGTAATGATTAGATGAATTTTAACTCAAAATTTAAATGAACTTGAACTCAACATTTAGATGGTAACGAATATATTTTTGGCATTTTTTATATGATTCTGTATTTTTACAGGTGTTTGAGTTTTTCGACTCAAAAAATCACCTACAATGTGTGTACAGTTACCGCAGACCTTATGATGGAGATTCCCCAATGTCGCTGGTGTTGAACAAATTTTGTAGGGAATATGAGACAACCATATCCCCAGCCAATACTGTATTCGTAACAATTCTATCAGGAAATTATCTACACTCCAGGAACACTCCAGGAATTCTAGTTAGACACTCCACCGGTAGGCTCATTTAGCGCACCCTTTTGCTATGAAATAATAATTTGTTACGCTCAGCATATAGATTCTAAAATGAAATTATTTTGTACAATAAATTCAGCAGATAATCGATAGCAATGCATACTCAGCTTGTACAGACCAGTTTTTTTTTTTTTTTTTTTTAAAGCAGGAGACATGAAAAATGGATAGTGCTCTCGCCGGGACTCGAACCCTGAACATCTCGAATACGCTTCGATTATGCTTCCAATTACATCACGAAGGCATGTGGAAAGGAGGGAGAAAATACCTTATATGCTCCCCCTTAAAAGGTTAAAAGGTGACTGAGGATTAGGTTACTGAGCAGCCAAACCCTGGTGGTGACGAATTATCGTAGAACACCTTTTAGTTCGGACGGCACTGTAGAGTCAATACTTTTTTTTTGAGCCGCCCAGCCAGTACAGGGGTTAATGATGCTGAGACAGGGTTCGAATCCTGGAGAAGGCATGCTTGTAACTGTCCGTCCCCTTAGTAGGAGGCAACGGTGTCCACCTATTTGGTGGAACCATAATGACATGGGCACCAGTTCTGACCCTTGTAGTCGCGCAAAGCTAATGGCATATATATATATATATATATTAAAGCAGGGGACATGAAAAATGAGCAATGCCCTCTCCGGAACTCAACAGCTGGACCTGTCGAACACGCGTTATAATATGCTTAAAATTACACCATGAATGTATGCGGAATCGGGAATCTTAAAGATGTGCTGCCTTTAAATATTTTGAGAATTTGCTGTTCAATTTTATATAGCATAAGTTCGAATAAAACAATATATATTAAACAAAGTTAAAAAGACAAGAAAAGTTTGAAGGTAATTTTATTAAGAACATTGAACATTGAAATTAAACTAAAAAAAGACACACACACACACACACACACAAAAGAAAAAAAAAAAAAAAAAAAAAAAAAAAAGGAAAAAAAAAAAAAAAAAGATTATATATAATGTTAAAAAAAATCTGAAAGGTTTCAGATTTTAAATTATGTCCAAAGGGGCGATTTTTTAACGTTTTGTGTGTTACCTTTATTTATTAAATATCATGTTCTTTGCACTGAAACCATAAAATTCAGTTCCACAGCAATGTCGCAAAATAATTTTAAAATGAGCAGATTTTTAGGATTTCCGATACACAGTTCCGCGCGCTGGAGATATAAAGTTTTTATTCTCCCGTAGAGAGTGGCCATTGCTCGCTTTGAAATCTTTGAGTTTGTTACTCAAAAATTCTTTAAACGTTTACAAAATATGAAATCTATCATAAAACAAATTCCAAATTTCAAATTTGATCTTCCACATGCCCATATTCGTAGGAGGATTACGTCATTCAAAATTCGATGGATCTATGTACCGTTGTTTTATCACAATGCGAGAAAAAAGCAGATTTTTCATTATTTAATTTCTGCAAACATAATGCAGGAGTCTAAATACTTGGTGGCAACAGTTTGAAAAGTGAAGCGGACATTTATAGTGATTCAACGCAAAATCGCAAAACGAAAACAATAGTCCTTCAGGGACAATAAAGCCCTTTTGGACTAAAAAAAATAAAATATTAAGCGTTTCAGATTTTAAATTACGTCCAGAGGGGCGTTTTTTTAACATTCTGTGCGTTACCTTTATTCATTAAATATCATGTTCTTCGCACTTAAACAATAAAATTCAATTCAAAGAGCAATATCGCAAAATAATTTTAAATTGACCGTATCTTTAGAATTTCGGATACAGAGACTCACGCGTTGCAGTTTAAGTTTTCGTTTGAAGCTAAAATTTATCTTTTTATTTATTTCATGTTTTGGTCTAATTTAGTGAAATTTTTTTGATTAGCAAACTCAGCAACGTGCTGCCATTCCGAAAGCCTAATATTGAAATTTAATGAGAAAACTCATCAATTTTAGAGAAGTGTGATGCCACTTTGCAAAGCGCAATATATTGTCTTTGAAATTTAATCAAAAAATTAGCAATTTTAAAGAGTTTTAAAGTACCAGTGTGTTTCGCGCATCAGTGTGTTACCATTCGAGAAAGCGTAAGATAGTTTTCGTTTAAATTGAATCTGCTAGTTAGTCACTTAAAATTTCATCGATTTGAAAATAATAAAAGTAGTTCATCTTCTTTATTATAAAGTTGACCCGAAAAATTACATTAGCTTGGTTCATTAAAATGTGTTATACACTTTATTTTATAAAAATTGTTTCAGACGGCTGGCTGCGCAAGCATCTAGTAATAATAACTTTTCAAAATTTTCCTCAGTATGATTAAATAAAAATGCATTTAATCCCTGATATGTGTAACCTAACTGAGACACCCGGCTTCGATTGTGCTTCGTGCAGAGTGAAGAGGCTTCATTTAGGGGACGTGGGCACATATTTCGAAATCTCAGTTAGACTCAGTTAGTTAAAACTGATAGAAAAAGCACTTAATTTCTTTAAAAGCTCTATGCTGTTCTAAAGAGTGAACAAACAAGGCCCATTTAGCGTTCTTAGTAAAAATTGAGAGCGAGAACGTAACAAAAGCAAAGTGAACCAGAGTCGGGTGGCGTGATTTCAAAATTGAAACTGTGTTGCAGAAATATCAACATTTACTTATTGTAAGAAACAATCATAATTTCTTTCCTTAGCATGTGTAACTTTCGCTGATAGTGGGAACGCAACAAGGGCGACGGAAACAGAAGATGGGTGACATGAGCGGAATTTCTAATACACTGACTACCAATAAGTATTTGGACACCTGCGATAGAAAGAAAAACTAACTTTA